CCTGCCTTGGAAAGAAAATTATTTTTCCCCCTAAATACTATGATCAACTTATCTCCTCTGCTAACTTTTAAAGACCGTCCACACAGTAACCTTCCCTGATAGACGTCTGTATAACGAATATTAACTGCTCCTTTATAATATTAACGTATTAAGGTGTCTGGAATTTACACTCCGTAATTTGTGAGGAATGTGAACCTTTAATTTCTTGTATGTGGATTTACTTCTCCCTCCTCATCTACAATCTACATCCCCCCTCGTACCTGTCACTCTTATCTAGAAACATGTTGCAGTATCCTGTACACTTTCATATGCTTTTATCGTTGGATTATTGTCAAAAGTACAAGGAGGGGTGAGAATCGGTTGAAAAAAGAAGTGTAACTTATTTTGATCTTTAACCAATCAATTACAGTAAGAATTAAGGGTCTTTCAGTAAAATGTTGAGTTACAGTACGAATGTTATGATTCCTAGTAGTTGTACAGTGTACACTGATCACTAATAGGAAAATGAAACCTTTTACTATAGCTATACTTTAGTTGTAAAGGAAGACTTATAATAGTTACCGCTAGTGTTACTATATATCTACTACTACCGCTGTCACAAACAGACGCGTTTCTCATCAAGTTAAACAAGTTTTTAACTCTAAGGTGTTGAATAAGGGCGTGGCTGAGACTAAATATCGTACCCTGCCAACATTGACAATGTTTCATAGATTTTATATTTATGTTTAGATAAAGATTAAAGTAGTTTGTGTAAGCTTTATCTGACGATCTTAATGCTGTACGGATCTTTGAAGTTAAAGAATTGACATGGTAGTTAATAATTCAGTGTTATACAAGTGCGAAACCGCCAGATATTAACTAATAACTGCATTCTTAACAGGATTTATTAAATTACTTTCAAGGTTTTACATTTATTATTTAACCATACCATGTCTATCATAATCTCACACTATCATCATACAATCCACGTGCTTTACAAGACATATCATATCAGTTAATAAACTGGTAAACCTTACAACTGTGACATTTAGCGTGTCACTTGTTACTCTTAGTAACTGAACTGGTGACAGTTTGTAATTTTCTTAACCAAGGTGCAGGGTTGGTGGAGAAGTTAAATAGTTCTTTAATTTTCTGTTTAAACATTAATTAAAACAAATACAGACACCGCACATACACGGTGTCTTACTCTAGTAGCAGGGAGTAAGACACGGTCTATGTATTATTATGATATTTATTATGATATTCGAATATTTTAATAATATTATATTTATCATGATATTCGAATATTTTAATAATATTATATTTACATGGTATTCTAATATTTTAATAATATTATATTTATCATGATATATTCGAATATTTTAATAATAATATTATATTTACATGGTATTCTAAAATTCGAACACAAACCTTACTAGTTTTACATAAACTTTGGTATCTCACTTGATTACAATCTAATTCCGATTGCAATTTCAAAATAAAAACCTTTTTGAAAGTTTCATATTATTAAGTTTAAAATTTTCACGTTATTCAGTTTAAAAGATGAAAATTATTTAGTTTAAAACGTTTCAAATTGTTCAGGATATCAGATGGATATTTTGTGGTAGATGACGAACTTTCTTCCGCTGCAAGCTCCATGCAACAGTTAGTTACCATGGTTACACTACTAGTTACCATAGTAACATGCAACAGTTTGTTTCTCACATAATCTTACGCATATTTTCCACATTTTTCTTTAATTACGAAAAGACAAATATGGGTATCATCCTCCAATACTTTTTATTCGAAACTGATTAGAAAAAGGGTCAGCCCAAATATTTGTATCAGATAAATTCTGAACAGAAATAACATGATCCACCACGATAACCAATTAATTAAAATATTACCAGATATTATCTAAAAATAGTTGTTAACAGAGATTGTTACACACAGCTGTTCCGTCTCATTTTATTCCTAATTTAACTTTAATTAGTTTAATTACTAGATCTAATTGGAACCAATCATTCCGCACACAAATGAAGCTGATTATTCCACAATTGTACAAAAATCAAGTGTAAATTTGTCCGAACACTGCAATGCAGATCTCCCAAAATACCGTGCTAACTTTCCGATTCCTGTGTCCGGCCTGGGATTTTCCGTATCAAGTTTCATAATAAACGCTCTCGATCTAATTTAGGGGACAATACTGTCGGTAATGTTGTACCAATGCTGTCGGTAATTGTAAGGGATTTAATACCGTACAGCTGGATATAGCGCCACTTTTAGAGTTGATGAAAGGTTGCAAGACACTACCTAGAAATTACCATCGTTGTGGATTGTGGATCAAGTCACGCGCAATTTAGGGTCACGTGCACTTTATGACTTAAGGCGGCTGCACTTTATAGTGTAGCTTTAACTTGTAAATGCACTGTTCGGGATAGCGATGTACGTGATAGCTGTGACAATCACTAACTGTAACTATAAGGACTAAATACATTGTACGACTAAGACTAATGTACATTATACATTATATTATTAGATAAGAGTTACAGTGTGTATATTGTATAAGTTCCACCTTATCTCCCTTATACAACTGTTACTTTGCAGGGGGAGGGACCATCCAACCATTCAGTATCATGTTGTACTATCCAACATTTAACCGTTTACCAATTTAATTGACAGCTGTAACTAAGAAACATTCAACCCACGATTGTAAGTTTTCTCCACTCTGAGGTAGCCTGTGTTTTAGTACACCAGCAATAACAAGCATTACAAGTCCCACACATAATTAGCACACCCCACACTCTGAACTTCTGAAGAAGAAGCCCCGACACTATCTGATAACCACTCCCCGAACCCTCGTCTCTCATTGGCTCCCACCCTCCCCTCTTCGTCTTTCATTGGCTCCCACCCTCCCCTCCTCGTCTCTCATTGGCTCCCACCCTCCCCTCCTCGTCTCTCATTGGCTCCCACCCTCCCCTCCTCGTCTCTCATTGGCTCCCACCCTCCCCTCTTCGTCTTTCATTGGCTCCCACCCTCCCCTCCTCGTCTCTCATTGGCTCCCACCCTCCCCTCCTCGTCTCTCATTGGCTCCCACCCTCCCCTCCTCGTCTCTCATTGGCTCCCACCCTCCCCTCTTCGTCTTTCATTGGCTCCCACCCTCCCCTCCTCGTCTCTCATTGGCTCCCACCCTCCCCTCCTCGTCTCTCATTGGCTCCCACCCTCCCCTCCTCGTCTCTCATTGGCTCCCACCCTCCCCTCCTCGTCTCTCATTGGCTCCCACCCTCCCCTCCTCGTCTCTCATTGGCTCCCACCCTCCCCTCCTCGTCTCTCATTGGCTCCCACCCTCCCCTCCTCGTCTCTCATTGGCTCCCACCCTCCCCTCCTCGTCTCTCATTGGCTCCCACCCTCCCCTCCTCGTCTCTCATTGGCTCCCACCCTCCCCTCTTCGTCTTTCATTGGCTCCCACCCTCCCCTCCTCGTCTCTCATTGGCTCCCACCCTCCCCTCCTCGTCTCTCATTGGCTCCCACCCTCCCCTCCTCGTCTCTCATTGGCTCCCACCCTCCCCTCCTCGTCTCTCATTGGCTCCCACCCTCCCCTCCTCGTCTCTCATTGGCTCCCACCCTCCCCTCCTCGTCTCTCATTGGCTCCCACCCTCCCCTCCTCGTCTCTCATTGGCTCCCACCCTCCCCTCCTCGTCTCTCATTGGCTCCCACCCTCCCCTCCTCGTCTCTCATTGGCTCCCACCCTCCCCTCCTCGTCTCTCATTGGCTCCCACCCTCCCCTCCTCGTCTCTCATTGGCTCCCACCCTCCTCTCCTCGTCTCTCATTGGCTCCCACCCTCCCCTCCTCGTCTCTCATTGGCTCCCACCCTCCCCTCCTCGTCTCTCATTGGCTCCCACCCTCCCCTCCTCGTCTCTCATTGGCTCCCACCC